AGGGGTTGCATGCTGACGATGGAGCTGAGGAGTAATTTCTTCTATCAGAGGGTAGTGAGTCTGTAAAATTCTTTACTGGGTTTAGAGGCTGAGTCATTCAATATATTCAAGGCTGAAATGGGCAGGCTTTTAATCAGTAAAGGAATCAAGAATTATGGGGAAAAGGCAGGAAAGTGGAGTTGAGGATTATCAGATCCACTGATATCAAATGGCAGAGCAGGTTCAATGGGCTGAATGGCCTACTTTGGTTTCTGTCTCCTATGGTCTTACTGCAGACATATTTCCCCAATTGACAATGATACTAAGGCACTCTAACAGACTTGAGACTGTGATCTGAAAGGTGCTTGAAGAATTTAGTTATACTATTCACTTAACTGTTACCTTTTAAAATATTTTATCAACTTTACCATCAATGTGTATGTTATGTTAGCATTTATGAAGAGCAAAAATGTGAACTACAAAGCAGGTAGTCTTTTCTCTTTAATAGAGCAAGAACTGATTTCAGTCAGCTCCAATATGTTTTTTTTTTCCTTTAAAACCAGTGTCTCATTCATTTGTACATTCCTATTCCTCCAATTTCCGTGGGGGTTCCCATATATCCATTTCCCTACCTCCAATTATGTGAGATATGGTCAGAAGTCACATGAATATTTCTTCTCGGTGTTTACTGAGGAGAGAATCGTGGATGCTAAGGAAATAAGGGAAACAGGTGGGGATGTTTTGGATAGCATACATATTACCAGTGAGGAGGTGCTTGCAGTCTTAGATCACATTAAGGTGGATAAACCCCCTGGGCCTGATCAAGTCCATCCTCCGACATTGTGGGAGGCTAGGGATGAAATTACAGAGGCCCTTGCAGAGATTTTTGCTTCACCTTTAGCCATTGGTGAAGTTCTGGAAGACTGGAGGGAGGCTAACGTTGGTCCATTGTTTAAGAAAGGTAGCAAAGACAAGCCAGAGAACTACAAACCAGTGAGCTTGACATCCGTGGTAGGCAAGTTATTGCAGAGGATACAGAGGGACAGGATCAACCAACATTTAGAGAGTCAAGAACTGATTATGGATAGTCATCATGGATTTGTGTGTGGGAAGTCATGTCTGACTAAACTTTTAGAGTTTTTCGAAGAGGTAACCAAGAGGATTGATGAGGGTAGGGCAGTGGATGTTGTCTATATGGACTTCAGTAAGGCCTTTGACAAGGTCCCGCACAGCAGGCTAGTTATGGAGGTTAGGTCATATGGGATCCAGGGAGAGATAGTTAACTGGATTGAAATTTGGCTCGATGGTAGGAAGCAGAGGGCGATGGTTGAAGATTGTTTCTCAGACTGGAGGCCTGTGACTAGTTATGTGCCACAGGAGTGGGTGCTGGGACCTTTGTTATTTGTTATTTACATAAATGATCTGGATGTGAATGTACAAGGCATGATTAGCAAGTTTGCAGATGATATAAAATTAGGAGGTATTGTTGATAGCGAGGAAGGTTATCAAAAATTACAGAGGGATCTTGTTCAGATGGGGAAGTGGGCTGAGGTTTGGCAAGTGCAATTCAATTGAGATAAGTGTGAGGTGTTGCACTTTGGAAAGTCAAACCAAGGTAGGACTTATACAGTAAATGGTAAGGTCCACAGGAGCATTCTGGAACAGAGGGACCGAGGAGTACAAGTACATAGTTCATTGAAAGCTGCACCACAGGTGGACAGGGTGGTGAAGAAGGCATTTAGCATGCTGGCCTTCATCCATTGAGGCATTGAGTATAGGAGTTGGGATGTTTTGTTACAGTTGTATAAGTCATTGGTGAGGCCGCACTTGGAATATTGTGTACAGTTTTGGTCACCCTGTTATAGGAAAGTAGTTAAACTCAAAAGTGTGTAAAGCTGATTTACGATGATGGTATGAGTTATAGGGAGAGGTTGGCCAGGATAGGACTTTATTCCTTTGAATGTAGGAGAATGAGGGTGACCTTAATGAGGTGCATAAAATCATGAAAAGCAAGAATAGGATGAATGCATATAATCTTTTTCCAGGGATGGGGAATTGAAAACTAAAGGGCATAGGTTGAAGGTGAGATGGGAAAGATTTAAGAAGGACCTGAGGGGCAACTTCTTTACGCAGAGAGCGGTGTGTATACGTAATGGGCAGCCGGAGAAAGTAGTTGATGCAGGTACAATAGCAACATTTAAAAAACATTTGGATAGATACACGGATGGGAACAAAGGGACAGTGCTCTAAAAGATTCTGATTTCAAATAAACCTGTTGGACTATAACCTGGTGCCGTGTGATTTCTGACCTTGTCCACCCCAGTCCAACACCAGCACCTCCACATTTTGTGAGATATCATAGGCATTTGTCAGAACGGCTGCTTCTCATATCTTGATAACTGATGCTCACCGAAACATGCCTTAAAGTTTACGAACACTATTCCTAAATTCTTCCACAATAAATTCTTTTATGTCGTCACGTTTTTCTCTAACACCAGTGATTAAAACTGTTGATCTCATAGCATTTATCTTTTCTCTTCAGGATTTTACAAGTATCTGATGACTTTTATTTCTTGTGACCCTGAATTTCAATCAACAAACTTCCGTGACAAGTTCTTTATTCATTCAGGGGATGAGGGCGTCGCTGGCCAGGCAGCATTTATTGCCAAATCTAATTGCCCAGTGGGCAGTTATGAGTCAACCACGTTGCCTTGGGTCTGGAATCACATGTAGGCCAGACCAGGTAAGGATGACAGTTTCCTTCCCTAAAGGACATTAGTGAACCAGATGGGTTTTTCCAACAATCGGCAATGCATTCACGGTCATCATTAGACTCTTAATTACAGATGTTTATTGAATTCAAATTCCACCATCTACCACGGTGGGATTTGAACCCAGGTCCCCAGAACATTACCTGGGTCTCTGGATTAACAGTCCAGCAATTACACCACTAGGCCATTGCCTCCTCGAATATTTATATATCAAATATTGTTTTCTTCAACAGTTTCACCATATGCAGATTGTTTTTTTGACAAACCTGTACACACAGTTATACATGAAAAAGCACCAACATTAAGCTTTAGCCTCTTCATCTGCCCTTATTACATTTTCAGGTGATGCGCAGGATCTTCCAATCTCTGTAAATTTATACACAAAGTGTAAATTTCTCATTCAATGAGAACCTTATTGAATTTTTTGAAGAGGTGACCAAACACGTGGATGTGGTATACATGGATTTAAGTAGGCATTTGATAAGGTTCCCCATGGTAGGCTCATGCAGAAAGTAAGGAGGTTCGGCCACATCTGGAGTATTGTGTCCAGTTCTGGTCACCTCATTACAGGAAAGATGTGGAAGCGTTAGAAAAGGTGCAGGGGAGATTTACCAGGATGTTGCCTGGAATGGAGAGAAGGTCTTACGAGGAAAGATTGAGAGAACTAGGGCTTTCTCTTTTGAACGACAAAGGATGAGAGGTGACTTGATAGAGGTGTACAAAATATCAGAGGTATAGATAGAGTGGACAGCCAAAGACTTTTTCCTAGGGTGGAGGTAGCTATTATGAGGGGGCATAGTTTTAAAGTGAGTGGAGTTAGATACAGGGAAGACATCAGAGGTAGGTTCTTTACTCAGAGAGTGATAGGGGTGTGGAATGCCTTACCGGAGAGGGTAGTGGAGTCGGCCTCATTAGGGGCATTTAAGAGGCAATTGGATAGGCTTATGGATGATAGTATAAGGTGGGGTGGAGGTTAGATATACTTTAGATTTAGGGTAAAAGTTCGGCATAACATTGTGGGTCGAAGGGCCTGTACTGTGCTGTACTGTTCTATGTTCCAATGAAACCTCTTGGGGGAATCAGCATCATCCTCTGAGCTACTGCCTCTTCCATCTTTCTTTATTCCAAACTTTTTTCTTTCTGAGGCATGTTGTCTGACTTCGTTCTGTCTTTGCAGAGCAAGCTTTTTTGATTTCCATTAGGGTATCTTCAAATATTGCATTTGGAAGGATCTTAAAGCACATTAAGACAAGATTTCACTCTTTGCCTAACACCAAATATTAGAAACTCAAGCCCAGAAAAATTACTCTCCTATATTAATTTTAACTTTTTACGAACTGGCTCAGTTCAATTTAATTCCCTTGAACTGTAATGGTGATTTTACAATTGTTCTCCGAGTATGACGGTTTGAACCTTTCACAATTCTGATGACTTACTTTTCAATTCTAACAACTTGAAGAATTCTATCCCAAACATTGCTTGAAAACTTAACAAACTGGAAAAACCCCAGCTGTTGGGAATGAGGTACTCACATGGGGAGATGTGTGTGAGGTACACACGTGGGGAGATGGTTGTGAGGTACACACATGGGGCAATGGGTGTGAAGTACATTACCAAAAGGATGTGGATGCTTTGGAGATGCTGCAGAGGAGGTTCACCAGGATGTTGCCTGGTATGGAATGTGCTAGCTATGAAGAGAGGTTGAGTAGATTAGGATTATTTACATTAGAAAGACGGAGGTTGAGGGGGGACCTGATTGAGGTCTACAAAATCATGAGAGGTATAGACAGGGTGGATAGCAAGAAGCTTTTCCCCAGAGTGGGGAACTCAATTACTAAAGGGCACGATTTCAAGGTGAGAGGGGAAAAGTTTAAGGGAGATATGCGTGGAAAGTTCTTTACGCAGAGGGTGGTGGGTGCCTGGAACGCGTTGCCAGTGGAGGTGGTAGAGGCAGGCACGATAGCGTCATTTAAGATGTATCTAGACAGATACATGAATGGGCAGGGAGCAGAGGGATACAGATCCTTGGAAAACAGGCGACAGGTTTAGGCAGAGGATCTCGATCGACGCAGGCTTGGAGGGCCGAAGGGCCTGTTCCTGTGCTATAATTTTGTTTGTTCTTTGTTTGTTCTTTGTACTCACATAGGGAAATGGGTGTGAGGTACACACATGGGGAGATGGTTGTGAGGTACACACATGGGGAAATGGGTGTGAGGTACACACATGGGGAGTTAGTTGTGACGTACTCACATGAGGAGATGGGCGTTGTCATTCTGCAGTCGTGAGAGAAGTGTGTTCTCCCTCCACTTCAGGAACTGCATCATAGTTAATGGAGCTTGCTTGTCAATGGGAATTTGATTTGTGGTCCACACCTCCACTCCAATCAGAGCAATGCGAATGTTGAATGGTCTGTAATACTGGAAAAGGGAGAAATATTAGTCACTCAACGGATTGAATTGACCTCAAACTGATGGCTTAGGATGGAAGTATCAATTTAGTCCCTTTAACTATGTGCGTAAGCCAAACTATAGTGTGAATGAATGGTCACAATACCACATTCAGCCCACACACATATGCTGTCTGTTTGCTATAGAACATAGAACATTACAGCGCAGTACAGGCCCTTCGGCCCTCAATGTTGCGCCGACCTGTGAAACCAATCTGAAGCCCATCTAACCTAAA